GTACCTGAACGAAATCCAACAGTCTGGCAGTGGTGAATTCTCTTCTCGAAGTGTCAGGTTGAGACCAAATTCAGATTCCTTTTATATAACGAGTTTTCTGTTAACCGCCCACCACAGTCCGTTTCTTTATTTCTTTTTTTTTTTTTTTCCTGAAAGTACGCAGTGTATTCTAGCATCTTTCAGAACAGCTACCTGGAAAAGGTACCATTTATTTTAATAACCTGCAACAAATCACGATTTGTTAACAAATTATTATTACTAGTTTTTTCAAATGGGAGAAAAACTGTTATGTGTATGTTGCATTTTTTCTCGTAATGGGTTAAAAAAAAAAAAAAAGGCAAAACCGTGAAGGCACATTTTTGCATATATTTAGAATCTGCCTATTAACAGAATGTAATTCCCCAGGTTCTTTGAGTGACCAGTATAAGATAAATTAGGCTCTAGTGTTGGAACTGACTCATCTTGTGCCCGCTTGCATGTCTGCAGGACTAGAGCCGTAGATGATTGTGCCAAGTCCCCACCACTGCAAAGCTGTCTACTGTGAGTTTTATCGAGATGAAAGCTGCTGATGCTTGGTGGCTTTCAGTGCTGCTCAGAGGTTAGGAAGGTGGTAGCCCCTGACTTCAGATCTTGCTAGATTCTGGTATGATGTTCTTGCAAAGGAAGAACTGACAACACTCCTTCGTGTGCTCTGCATTTTGTGTGCAGGTATTCGGTGCAAAGATACTGCAAGAAACTGCACATTGTGTGCAGATGTTCCTGTGCAAAATCACCATTTTGGTAATTTGTCATAAACTAAGCTGCATAGAAGCAACATTTTTATTGTTAGAAGATTCTTCTGTAGCCTATAGCATTGTGCAGATATCTCTTAAAAGAAGTTTTGAAATGTTTCTTTCAGTTTTATGATATCAAGCACAGCAAGTATAGTGAAGCCACACTAGAGCATGCATGCTCCCCTTAAGCCTGTCTTTTGCAAAACATAAGGTAGTATTGGCTTTGTCAACTTTGAGCAAAGGCTGGAAAATTAAACAGTCTACCTGCTCCTTTCTAAAAGCAGAGGTGAAAAAATCAGTATGATTATTAGATAGCCCCTCTCTGACTGCTTGTCTTCATCTTACTCATGCTGTTTGGATGTTAGGTGTCTGCAAGAGCTAATGTGCAGCTGTAATCAAACAATAAGCAAGTAATTTGCCTTTTTTTTTTTTTTTTGCTTTTTTTTTTCTGTTGTTCTGCAGGGAATAGTGATATGAAGTACTTTCCAAAATAAATGCAACCTCAGAATACCTCCTCACCCTTTTTAACAATGCCGTCAGAGAGATGTGTTACAGATTGTGCTACTGCTGTTGTTACTGCACGGCTCTGTCTCCAGTTTACTTCAGACTTCCCCACCGAGGAAGAGCTTTTGAAACAGAATCTTGGGTGCTGTGGGAGTTGAGGCAGTACATGGCACTGGCTTCTTGAAGGCCCAGGGAATTGGATCAGCATCTTACAGTTTTGATCCTGTGTAGAAAATGATTGCTGAAATGCTAGAATAGCTTTAAGATATGCAAAGTCTTAGGAAATAGATGAGTACTTTTATTTATTATTGATAATTACCATGTTTAGAAATTTTTTTAGAAATTTTTCTTAAAAATATCCCCTTGTTGATACAGATATTTTTGATTAAAAATTTGTTGTCCTTACTTTACAAAAGACTTGACAAAATAACTGCATTAACAGACTGTTTTAATTTGACTCTGTCTTTCTAGCTAGACTGATAGTTTGTGTGCTGCTTCAATGACCTGGAAAGGTTTCAGAAAGGACTCCTAAATCATTAAATAGAAAATGTTATAAAACAAGTCTTTGTATTCTAGAAGCACATTTACATGGTGAAGAGTTACAAGAGAAACTTAAATGCATTTTTCAGAGGAAGAACTAAAAAGTCTAGAAAAATGGCCAGTGGTGAAAGCAGTCTGCTGTGCAGGAGCTGACCTGACTACATGGCAATTCCTTCTGTAAAAACTTTTAATGGTGGTCGGATGGGTTATGTCTAGAGCTTAAAGGGATCACTTCACAGGGATCCATCCTCACACCACTTCCAAGTTCAACCAGCCTCACTTCTCTCTGGATGGAAATTGTTGAGGTGAAGTCCTGTGTGCTGCTCGGGCGGCAGGAAGGGATATGAACGCTGCTGTTGCGCCTTAGCTGCTCCTTCAGGCTTTGTCTGGCCTTAATGTTGTTAATTGGCTAGGCAGTGTGTATCTCCTGATTTGATAAGGATAATGAGGAATGAGTTCTACTGTGTGTGGGATCAAAATAATGCTTGTGGCTATACTTTGGCTTTGTATAAACTGAGATTAGAAATCTGCACTTCTGCAGAGCCATCTGTGCTTTTTTGTTATCCTTCTGTAGACTTGCTAGGAGTAAGTAGTTTTAAAAAATCTTCTGTTAGAAAAGCTGTGCTGAAGAGTAAAATTGTGTAGATTGGGTAAAACATATCTGTTTTGGTCTCAATTTCACCAGTTTCGTAGCTTTTAAAGTAAAACATCAAAAGTGACTATTTTTGAAGAGACTGTTCTGCCAACAGTTCACTGTTTCATTTTAGTTTTCTCCCATCTGTCCTTCTTAATTAGAACTTACAGCGGCACTGAAACCGAAGGACAGCTTTTGAATTCCTTTGTTCAGTACTTTGGTGACAGCCTTGGGAGGAAGATTAAAAGAATGCCTTTAATTGAAGAAACTGTTCTGCCTGGGGACTCCCTTCTTACCCTGCCTGTAGTAATAATAGGTGAGTTTTTTCCCTTTTTAAAGATTCACTGCAATTGCCTTTATCGACCTGCTGCATGAAATAGTTTCTCAATAAATAACTAATGCTTAGAACCCTTATAGTGAAGATCTTTATTAGAGTAATACAGTTGTTATAATTAACAACAGTAGAATTATATTATGTTAAGGGACTTGTTGGAGTATATTTGAATTTGAATTGTGCTTTGAAAAAATCAGCTGTGTTATTTGACAGCAGATATGGGAGTATTAACAGAAGAACTGTATTGATTCTAGTGTTGATAACATAGGTTTTGATTAATGTGATGTGTCTATTTCTGTATGCATGGAGGTTGTCAATGATACACCAGTAGAAATCTGTGGGGTCATGTGGAAGAGTGAAAAACATAATGCATGCTCTGTGTTGGTTAGGTGCTAACCTCTCATTATTTGCCTTTTTCTCGGTTGCATCAATCACTAATATCTAAATATTCTCCTATTTTTTCCAAAATGAATCCAGCTCAATTCAGCTAGTTTAAAATAATAAATTGTAGTCTTGATTGAACACTTAAGGGCTTGTACTTGTAAAATGACAGGGTAACAGAGGGAGGAGGCTCCATAGGTACACGACTTAATTGGGAGTGCCAGCGTAATGTGTATTGGGCCAAGGTTTTTCAACAACAGCTGGTCACCAGCTCATTCTGGCCATGGCTTCATGAGCAGATAAAGAAAAGATTTGAAGTAAAGAAGGTTTTCAATAATCTAGTCCAAAGCTGTTGGGACTAGAGCAAGTACCTACCTGTAAAGAAGCAAAGATTTTGGAGATTGATGTTGCAATATAATTGTGTTCACAGTGTCTCCACAAATTCAAAGACTCCTGTTTGCACAGTGCCTGTTCTCAAAGCTCTCTTTATGATAGTTTAAAATAGTGCCCATGGAGCAGACTGAGGTGTGTGTGACAGACGTGAATCACTTGATGAATTCTGCATGACAGTTGAAGAGAACAGTGTCCTGGCATTTTGTCAGCCTTAATATAGGTTTGTCATATGGTTTATAATTCAGTTTCCACTGTTTAGTTTTGCAAATATACATTATGCAAATACCTGTGCTCAATACTTGGTTTGTCTAGAGCACCTTTCTAAGTGCTGACACCAAACACAGCTGCCTTGACCACTTCTCCATCATCCAAATGCTTCCTCACAGATATATTTGAGACACCTTGCAAGCTGATCTCCACTGACAGCCTATAATCACTGAAGCCTTCAAAGGGATCTAAAATGATTTGATAATGTAGTAGAGGAGTATGAAAATAGTTGTCACCCCCCCTGCCCCCCCGTGTATGAACGCACTCTCTACTGACTTAGTAACTTCTGTGCAGTGCCTGTGTTGGGAAGAAACAGGTACATTCTTCGGGGTTCAACAATTTCATGCTGAAACTCTTAAGTTTAGAACGTGTTCTGTGCTAAACATTTTCATCTTTTGCACCAGTTTTGATCATTACTATGTGGAATGTTGTCACTTCCTAGCCAAATAACAAGGCTGTTATGATATCTAAAGTTGAATATTTGCTTTAAATTTAGACACATAGTGTAAAGGTGATTGTGTGCTGTTGATCAAGAGAAGATTTTGCTGATATTCAAACAAAGTTCTAGCTACTTCTTAAATGAACAGGGCCATGAGGTTTCTGATTATATTGTTGTACAACTAAAGTTTGTGTAATAGTAGTGTCTCCTGATTGCAGTCAGAGGTCTTATCAGAGACAAGATAAATAAATGTGTAAATAAAAATAAAATTTGTCATTTCAAAAAGATTTTTTTCTCTTTTTCCCAAGAATTTCTGAGAAAACCATAGCAAGTCTAATTGCAGACCTTGCAGCTGAACATTCATTCTGTGTGTTCTTAACAGCATATCCTCAAGGGATTTCCTTTTCCTTGGGTTCAGTCTGCTTAAAGAATAGGAACTGGGTTTGGATCAGCTCTCTGGGTGGTCGCAGAAAAGTTCAGGAACTCAGTGACAGTAATTCACCTTAACATCACAGAATGACTGGTTTGGAAGGGACCTTCAAGATCATCGAGTCCAACCCAGCCCCAACACCTCAACTAAATCATGGCACTGAGTGCCACATCCAGTCTTTTATTAAGCACATCCTGGGATGGTGACTCCAACACCTCCCTGGGCTGGCCATCCCAGTACTTTATCACTGTTTCCATGATATCACTTTTTGCTAGTATCCAACATAAATTTCCCTTGGTGCAGCTTTAGACTGTGTCCTCTGGTTCTGCCTGGTGAAACAGACCAACCCCCACCTGACTACAGCTGCCTTTCAGGCAGTTGTGGAAAGTGATAAGGTCACCTCTGAGTCTCCTTTTCTCCTGGCTAAACAACCCCAGCTCCCTCAGTCGTTCCTCACAGGGTTTGTGTTCCAAGCCCCTCAGCAGCCTTGTTGCCACCTCTGAACACGCTCAAGTGTCTCAACGTCCTTCCCAAACTGAGGGGCCAGAGCTGGACACAGCACTCAAGGTGCAGCCCCACCAGTGCCAGTACAGGGGAGGAATGACCTCTCTGCTCCTGCTGGCCACACTGCTCCTGATACAGGCCAGGATGCCCTTGGCCATCAGGGCACACTGCTGGACTTGATCTCAACAAATTTCCATTCAGAAAGAAGTGAGGCTGGTTGAACTTGGCAGTGGTGTGAGGATGGATCCTTGTGATCTCTTTAAGCCCTAGACATAACCTATCCATCCCATCCTCAGTAATTTCCTTGGGCCTTGCCAGTCTTTGTTTGGGTGACATTTGTTAACCATTTCCTTCTTGTAGCCTTATCCAGTAGGAATGCTCTTTAGCATGGCATCTTTGGCTATGGCACACATTTTCCTCTTTCCATTGTGGATGAGCTTTTTTTATATCCCAGTGGGAAAATAAAGCTAGCTGTGTAATTGTAAAAACATTAAAAAATCTTTACTGTATTCAAGTTATAATTCTAAAAACAGTTAATAATTTAATCATTGAAATGCTTGTGAACCACTATGATTAAAGTGTTTTCATCAATTCATTTGATTTTGTTATGGATAGTTTCTCTGTATTGCTGCAGTTCTCTTACGTCTATCTCATGGCAAATGGGTGACAGTAGGTGTTTGAATCTTCTTTAAGCTTTAAATTCCTGGACTGAATCACATCCAGCTATCTTATGTTGATCTGTTTGTTGGAGGGCAGAACAGTGTGAGAGTAAGGAGGAAGTTTTTCACTGTCTTTAGATTCTTTAGGTGATTTCCTGTAGCCTGTGGCTGTGACCAGTCTATGCACAGCATTGTAATAAAGTATGGGATATTCTGCCCCTGGGGACCAGGTGAGTACAGCCTGGTGAAAGAGGAAAAAGAGATCCAGTGTATGAAGAACCTGGGAATGAACAGGGCCTCAGCGAAGTAATGGAGGATTTAGGACTGAGGAATCAGGAAAGGGAGAAGAGACAAGCATTGGAGAAATGGGATTGTTAAAATTGTGTGTGCAAAGGGTGATGGGGAAGAGTAAATGACCTGTGAATTCTTGACATCAAGAGATGAAGTAAGAATAAATATCAAACAATGCCTGCTATATTAAAGTATGAATGAATTAGTAACTTAAACCCAGAATTTGCAGTGTGTGCTAAATACCATGTGTCCAAGCAAAGACTATGTACTGACAAGTGGCTCATTAGGAGAACACTGTGCTTTTCATTCAATTAATGAGTAAGAGAAGCTATAGAAATAACAACACATACCACATATTCAAATTTTGTATCATAGCACATACTTTTCTGATTTCACTTTCTGTAACTTTTGATGTCTGACTTTGCAACATGAATGTTACTTTTCTATTTGCATGTGGTAAATATGGTCCCCTACTTTGTTTAATACTGTCAAATAAATAGAAATGTTTACCTTATGGTAATGTTTTGGTCCCATCTATCTCATACTTTTAATAACATTTTTAAAATAATTGTCTATTAAAATTGAAAATGCTACAAAGCTGGTAAAGGTGTTTGACTTGATACTCTTCCTGAGTAATGAATGTAGACTTACATGAGCTGCATGTTCTCTACCACTTACCCACAGGAGGCCTGTGGTCACTTAGCTTTTATGTTGCTGTTTTGCACTGTCTGTAACTTCTATTCTGACTTTCAGTCTTAAGTTTTCTGCTTGTCTTCCCTTTATTTTATGGACAGACCTGAAGAGAATATAATCCAGATTGTCTTTCTGCTCTGCGTTGTACAGTGCCTGTGGGAATGCAAAGTTGTGAGATGACAATAATATTCAGCTATCACTGTGACTGACGGGCAGACCATTATCTGTCAGGCCATTTTCACACAGTAGTGAGTTTGACATAGTAAATTAGGGAACTTCTTTATATGCATTTTGCTTCCTGTAAAAGTCACACATTTGTTTCTCTTTAACTGAAAAAAACTTTGCTCTCTGTATTTGGAGGATGGTCCTATAAAAAGCTCTATTTTACTGGAAAGTTTATAAGCTGCTTTGAAATCAAGACAATCTGGCATTGTACTACTTCAGTATTGTTTTGTTGCTGTATATTTAGTGATTAACAAACTGTAGATGATAAACATTTTTACTAAAGCAGTAAATTTTTTCTTTAATAGGAAATGGACCTTCAGGAATTTGCCTTTCTTACCTGCTCTCTGGATACAGGCCATATTTGTCTCCTGAGGCTATACACCCAAACCCCATTCTACATACAAAGTTAGAAGAAGCTCGACATCTTTCCATTGTTGACCAAGTAAGCTTTGGTTGCATTCTTGTCTAGCTCTTTTCCTATTGCAAGCAATAGTGCATTAATAAGTTACTTTGTTATTCTGTTAATTTAAATAGAGTCAATTAATGGCCATTAGATCCAACCCTAGGCTGTGTAGTGTTGTTTGTGGCTCTTGAAGGCTTTTAGTTTGTGGTGTCTTTTGGTTTTACTGCTTTTTGTTGTGTTCTTACTTCTTGCCAGGAGTGTCTAAAGTGTGACTCGGTCTGTGGCTGATGCAGGAATTCCAGTTGTCATGTGTGGGATGTTTGGGCACTATCACCAAGGAACACGTGCTACTAACATACATAAAGTACACGTAGCTCAAGTTAAAATATTCTTAAATACTACAATTCTTACTAAGATTTCATTTTTAGTTGTACTGGGCACATATATTCTCTATAAACACAATCCATTTTTCTTTTTGGAACAGTATACATCTTTCAGTGTTTGTGTTGTATTGACAGTTGCTCTTGTGCTTTTGTTGTTACCCATGTACATGTCCAGTTTTTCTGTCTGATTTGATTAGTTAAATCTTCTCCAGCATTTTTCTTTCCACTTGTCCATTGGTTTGCCATCTTAACACTGTTTTCCACTCACCTCATTGTACTCCTGATGGATTACTGACAATGTTATCGTTGTGTTGCCTTTGTGACTAATTTATTAGAAATACAAACAGGGATTTATATCTGTAGGGAGTAAATAGGAGTTTGTTTGGCTTTGGATTTTGGAGGGCATTTTTATTTCAGTGCTGTGCTATTTGCATGTGATGTTTACCCTAGGTCTCAAGGGCTTTTTCTTTTGCAGGAGAGTAAGTTGCCTAAGTTTTGGCTACAGATGTTTCATGTACTTCATCTTCTCCCAACCCCCTAATATTTTGACTAATTAGGAGGCTAAGCTATATTGACTTTGTCGGCAAAAATTGGTCTCATGTCCAGTTCTTTCTTCAAATCTCTATTTTCTCTTCAAATATTTGCCATTGTATAATTTTTGCAATTATTAGAACAAGACTGGTTAATAGATCTGAAATGTGAACTTTACAAAGTTCTAGAAATTTTTCTCAATGTTAACTGGTGTGTAAAATAATCCTAGTTTTACTTTTTAAAAATAATGGTAATTTTATCTTCATTATTTTGAGATATAATACAGTTAGTTTGGAACAAGCTAAGAGCTGTCAAAAGAGCCTTTTCTACTTGATGTTTAAAGCTTAATGTTTTTAGATTCCAATTTTGCTTTATCAAAATGGGACTTCTAGAAATATTAGCAGTCCTTTGTTAAAAGAAGTCTGTTGTATATAAATATAGATGTTACTAAGTTGCTCTGATCTCTGTTTGTCCACATACTTCTTTGTTCTGCAAATACTGACTTGCCCCAGAATTACTGTTATTAACATGTAATTTTAAAATGAGTGAGATGTACTCTTCAGAGTTACAAAGAACTGAATCATAGCAGTTATTTCTGAAAAGTGTTTTGATTGAATCTCTGCATGAAATAACCTTTACCTGAAATGTAATTTGAGTTGTGTTTTCTGTTGCGATTCAACTTCTGCACATCAGAGTAGCATGATGAATGTGAAAAGTTTAAAATTTGTCGTCCTTCAGGATCTGGAGTACCTGTCAGAAGGGCTGGAAGGACGCTCCTCAAACCCAGTTGCAGTGCTTTTTGATACCTTGCTTCACCCGGACGCTGACTTTGGCTATGACTACCCGCCTGTTCTGCACTGGAAGTTGGAACAGCATCATTACATTCCCCACATAGTGCTTGGAAAAGGACCACCTGGAGGGGCCTGGCATGTGAGTAAAAGTTGCATCTCATTCCTAGAGGAACTTGATAACTTTATGTTTTGGGATCTTTCTTACTGCCTTACTCTAGAGCTGTTTTAAATGGTAGTGCCAGTTGCAGTTTCAGCTGCTCCTTAGCAAAGCCCAGGTAAGTGTGGGATATGAGAAAGGAAGGAAGAAGTTGCCCTTTACTTGGGTGTTTGTGACCATGAGTGCTGTCTTATATTACCAGGTTTTTTGTTAGTTCACATTTAATGTATTATAATGTAGAGTATTTTCTATAATTATTTTTGTCTGCATTGTTTCCAGGTGCTTTTATACACAATCTTAAATTTGATGTCTTTATATGATGCTGCTTTCACATGTTTTGTGTTTCCTTCCTTTTTTGTATTTCAAATAACTCGCTTCTAGTTTTCCTTTCATATGCTCTCTCTTCACCTTTATTAGCTCATGTGATTGCTTATTATCTAAGTGTAACACAGAAATAGTTCTTCAGTTCTTCATTTAATGTCCTGGTTTTATGCTGTATTCTGGTATTTTGTTGCTCTAAATGGGTACAATTAGAAGAGCTTCACTGCTTTTTAAATTTGAATATTTTTTTTTAAACTTACATTTTACATTTGAATTGAGAGTTGAATTTGAAATGTGTCTGATGATGCATTTTCATATTTTCTCCATAGTCCATGGAGGGCTCTATGCTAACCATCAGTTTTGGAGACTGGATGGAATTGCCTGGCCTCAGCTTTAAGGAGTGGGCAGCTAGCAAACGCAGGTAAAGATACTGCAGAATCTACTTGGGAATCCTAATGGCCATAAAAATCCAGATAACTGGAAAATATTCAGGCTTCACTGTTCACAGGAGGGCTTCTTGTTTAGTTTATTAAATTGTTTGATGGTTCTGGAAATTCTTCTGCTGTGTGTATTCTGATGCAAATAAAATGGACAATGGTCAGGCAGAATAGTTGCTGGTGAGTGCACTGAAAGCAAACGTACAGGCAACAGTGTGTTCCAGCAGCATTTCAGAAAGAGGCACTGGCTGAAAGCAGTTCTGATCAGAGGTGAGGGAAGATGGAGGAAGGAATTTCAAATCCACTGAAGGAGGTATTGCAAGTTCCTCTTTCAACACCAGTGCAGCTGAAGTTGCTGCGCACACCAGCTTCCTTGCAATTCAGGAAGTTATGTATTTCAGCATTTGCTTTTACAGGCAAAGCTGCAGCATCTGAAATCTATAAATTTTAATTTTAAGAGAATAATTCAGTGTTTCTGTGTTAATTTGTAGCAATAAGTTTCTTGAAAAAACTTGAGAGAAGAGTTAATCTTATGCAAGTTCACTGGTTTTACTTCAGTTTGTAAAGGTCTGTGTCAGCAGATGAACCTAGATGAACTCTACATGAGCTTTTTCTAAAATTTTAATTTTTTTCACTTTGTTCTAGCAATATTAAAGGAAGTTAGTTTTGTACCATGTATGGGAAAAGAAGAAGTGCAGTTACTTGAGCATATGTCTTTAAGGGCAGACTGTTATTCATTTCAGGACAACCCTTGAAGTGAGGAAACTCTAGCTTTGTTCTTTAATCCTTTTCTTAGATAACCACAGCAATCTTGCCTCCTTGCCTAACTGAAATCCCATAAGCTGCTTATTATCTGAAGCTATGTATTATAGTTTTCAACAATGCTAAAACCAGGAATGCTGGCCTGTTACACTACAATTAAACAAGCTTATTTAAAAGGATTGATGATGATGTAAAATTAGTTATGTAGAATAGTTTCCTAAGTTTCCTTGCAAGAGGTGTCACACTGTCACATTATTCTCTTCCTATAAATATCTCATGAGGATTTCCAGAGTAGTAACCTGAGCATTTAAAAGAACATGTGCTATTACATTGTTAGTCCAAGAAAATTAGTAGCCTGATTACTTGTAAATATGATTTTAAGTGTAATTTAGTGGCAATCCTGATGTTCACTACAGTTTGTTTTGCCCTTTTCCTAGAGCTTACTTCTAACGAAGCAGCAAAATTCATGCAACTGTTCTGAATAATTACAGTCAGCTATTTTTCCTATAAATGAGACTGCAATAATCACGAGAAAAGCACAGATGTAATAGCAGGGTTGCAGTGCATAAATGGTTTTTATTGAACACTTGAACCTCACAATCCTGTTTACATAGTTGCATTAACGCTCTGTGTCATGTTTGCTTTGCTCATTCATGTGACATGGAACTACTTCATTTGATACTTAGTGAACTTAACCATACCCAAGGGAGAGGTCTTTTGTAAAGTATAATGACTACTTGGTTCCAGTAACATATTGAACCTAGAGTTTCAAAATTAGCACTTAACTATGACATTTAATTATTTAGATCGTTAGTAAGTGTATTCTCATGGGGTACAAGTTTAGCCACTACTGTATTGTTGATAGTTGTGATGTTAAACTTTGTAAAACACTTCCATATGGAGCTGCTATGATACTCCAGAGCTTTGTTACACCTAATTTCTTAATCACCATAGCAATTTATGTTGTATAAGCACTTAAAACTGTATTTAAAAAGTTGGCTGGTCTTGTGTATCAGGAAACAAGAGAACAAATAAGTCAAATGCCTTGAAAGATGCTGAACTCAGTGTCATTTACACTGAGCAGATTCAGTCCTCATAAACTTGACCTGTCATGTGGTATAGCATGTCTGATATTCAAATTACCAATAAGGTCTATTTTTTAACCAGAACCATTCAATTTTCTTTCAGAAATATAAAGACTGATCGAGTAATGCCAGAGGAAATAGCTTGTTATTATAAACACTATGTTAAAGTCATGGGCCTCCAAAAGAATTTCAGAGACAATGTTTATATAACATCAGTGTCCAGGCTTTACCGAGAAAAGGATGATGAAGGTAGGAGTCACCAAAATGAAGATATTTCAACACAGCATTTGGAAATGGAAGATGGACAGAAATCACTTGTTAAGAGAAACTGGGAAGTCAGAGGTTATCAGCGAGCAACAGATGGCTCTCATGTGCCCTTCTGCCTCTTTGCTGAGAATGTGGCTCTTGCAACTGGAACCTTTGATTCTCCTGGCCGACTGCAAGTTGAAGGAGAAGACTTTCCTTTTGTCCTCCATTCCATGTCTGACTTCGGAGCCGCAATCAGCAAAGGAAAGTTACGTGGGAAGGCAGACCCTGTGTTGATTGTGGGTGCTGGACTAACAGCAGCTGATGCAGTGCTATGTGCCTATAACAACAACATCCCCGTAGTCCACGTGTTTCGTAGAAGAGTTACTGATACAAGCCTGATTTTCAAACAGTTACCTAAAAAGCTTTACCCTGAATACCATAAGGTCTATCACATGATGTGTACTCAGTCCCATACCGTGGACTCTAACCAACATTCTGCTTACACTAGTTTCCCTGAACACAATGTACTTTCCTTCAAGCCTGAGATGAAATGTGTTCTTCAGAGTGCCTCCGGACTGAAGAAAATTTTGAAGTTTTCTGTAGCCTTAGTTCTGATAGGTTCTCACCCAAATCTTTTCTTTTTAAAGGACCAAGGACATAGCATAGGTCATCACTCTAATCAGCCTATCACCTGCAAGGGGAATCCCATAGAGATTGATCCGTACACTTACGAATGCACTAAAGAAGCCAACCTCTTTGCTTTAGGGCCTCTGGTGGGAGACAACTTTGTACGGTTTTTAAAAGGAGGTGCACTGGGCATTGCACGATGCTTGGCTATAAGACAGAAGAAGAAACATGAATTGATTGAAAGTGGGGATGGAGGAGGTGAGGGGGTACCATAAACGAGACATTAGAAACTCTCACATCCAGGATTACAGATGTAGTCTTAACAGAAAACTCACTGGCAGCAAAAGTTGATAGCAGTCACATTTCTGTTGTGTACAAGTAACCTGCGCTTGTATTGCTTGGTAAAGGATATTATAATACTTCACTCCTTAAAAATACAAAAAATTGATCTGCTATTTCAACTGATCTCAACTGGAACTGCTTCCAGATAAACAGAAAATGAGACTAACTTATATTGGCCTGCCTGTCTGTCATCTCTTGCTCAACTACAAGAGCAGACTTCGTTTGTGAAAGGCAATGCCTACCAGAGTGATTTTACATTTTAGTGTCAAGTGTGACAAGAATGCTCTTACCATGCAATTGAAATAACTTCTAAAAGCAGAAAGCTTGTTTGTACAAAGTGATTCTTTGTCCCAAAGCAAATTTGGAGCCTTCTGCTTGAAACAAGGATTTTATTTATTTGCCACAGTAATACTTGGAATGAGCACTTAGTAAAATGGTTTCTACTGTAAGGACTTCTGTAAGCAAGAAGTATTCCTCAACAGTTTTAAATTATCCTGGTAATTGGAATAAAAGAATAAGCATTCCCATTTAATCTTTAATGATTTGACACAATCCATTAATGTTTCTTCACACTATGCCTGGACTTGGGTGAGTGCACAGACTAACATGAGATGTTTCCCTACAGTGACATGTACATTTCTGAGAATACGCATTAACATAAACAATAAAGTACTGATGTAAGTGCTCTTATTACAGTGTCAATATCATGAATATCTAGTGTACTACTGAAAAATTAGGTACATGAGAAAATTAAGGGGTTTTTGCTTCCAAGATCAGGAAGACTGAATGGGATCACTTTGCTGATGAAGGTGGGGTGGGTGATAGATACTCTCTCATTTGACTAAAAATGGGTTCTGTTTTTTTTTTTTCTGGAGCAGCACATAATAGTAAAATATTTTAGCCTGCAGTTTTTGAAACTTAAAGGTTTATATCTTACAGCCACCTGAAAAACCAACCAATTTCAAAACAAACATGCAATAGTTCCTTTAAATCTTAAAGCTTTTAATGAAAGACAAAGACTTAACTTGTACCTACCTCTGAAAGCAAGTTTCATCTTTCCGCTCCATAATGTAAGACCAGAAATAACTAGATATCATTTTCTGGGTTTTACAGTAGTTAGTTCAACTAAACACACTGGTATTTACTGTCATGAGTTTATTTACTGTCAGGAGGTTAAGTTAGGAAAGTGAATTCCCACAACTCTCAGTAGACAAAAGTGATTGGTCTTGAATGTTTCTTTACCAATTTTTTCATTCGGGTCCAATATGATGGAAAAGGTGTTATTTTTCTGTTTGGGTTTTTTTTTGTTAAAGAATGTCGTGTTAGTTTCAAGTATTCTGTTTGCGTGATTAAAAATCTCCATATTGAACTTCAGCAGATTTTAAAAAGGAAGTTAGGCTTTGTGAAACTGCTAGTGGTTGCTGGTTTCCCAACTGCCTTAACTTGCATAAATGGTAGATAGCTATATTCAATAAATGCCTGTTTTCTGTGCCTACTGAATTACAGCGTTCTGTGGCTACTGCAGATCTTTATGCATCTGAGTAAGTTACTCAGGATTTGGACATAGAAGTTGAAAAGGTAAAGGATGCAAGGATTAAAGTTACTATTTTCAGTGAAAGTCCAAAATAATTTATTAAATTATGCTACTAATAATAATAAATTTTAGTCTAGAGCCACTGAACAGCATAAACACAAACGAAGGAGCTTTTCTATCAATTTCTGCATTGCCCACATGGTTGGCTTTAGCCATGCATTGTCAGTACTAGTTAAGGTACTTCTTTATACTGATATTGAGCTGATTTTAATTCCACTAAAGTCTAAGCTTGTTTTCTTCATATTTTAATTGCAATTCTTCAATTTGCCTTCTCTGGAAGAAACTCTGTATATAGAAACCAATTCTAAACATGTGATACCTAATAATTTTAACTAAGTGCTAAATACTTGATGATAGAATTTTATTGCAGTTTAGGTATTGGGAATACATTTGCACTGTGACTAAATTCCTGCAGTTTTGTGTCAGTATTAATGTCCAAATACAACACATGGCATGTTACTGCTTTTTCATAAATCACAGGAGACATTTAAAATGCCAGCAAAGAAAAAAGATTTACTTAGCAGTTATTTTGCAAAATGGGGAAAAAACCTTCAGCTCCTTTTTGAGCTTCAGCTGCTGCAGCTACTCACAAGCTGTGTGTTGTAGTGACAGTTTTGTAGCAGAGATCTTTGACCTATTCTTACTCAAGTATCTTTCACTGCAGTCTTACAGCACCTTGAGGTTTAACTGCTTTTTTTTTTCCATCAATCATGCCAGTATTTTTGAGATAAAAAGTTGCCTGTGAGACCCCCTAGTTGGGCAGAGAAAACTCAGTGGGTCATGTTTATTAAGCCAGTGTAAAAATACTTTTTTCAACCAAAGTTTGCTGAAAGATCATCTTGTGTCTTCTAGGAATTGCTAGATTTCAAGTTGTACCTAGACTTTTTTAATTTTTGCTTTTCTGATTTTGAGAGAAATTTCTGTTCCTCTCCTGTTTAGTATTTTGAGGAACTAGGTGATAGAGAAGTTTGGGCTTTACCTTAAGATAGTTTTACCTACTGCATTTATTGTGAATTAGATGTTGGCACTGAATAGTTGTCTTTTGGGGAAACACCTTGTTTCTCAGATTAAAAAAAAGCCCAAACATTTGAATTTCTTGTGTAATATAATAATTTACAGAAGGAAGACTGTTTCTTTCAGCTCTTCTTTCATTGAGAACAATAAACTTTTAAACATTGTGTATTATAAAAGGGTACTTCGTACTTAAGATTTATCATGAAAATGCAGACAGGAAGAAAATAATTTTTAGCTGAAGTAAGCTAATTTGGATTTACAGAATTTTTAAAGCTGTCTTAACTCTTACTGTGTATTTTCTAATAGGGTAATGGAAAAACAGCTTTTATGTTTGGATTTGGTTCTTAATGCTGTGAATGTGTCTTCCAGTTAAATTATTGCTAAGAGTATTTCAAGTGTCCAGATGCTGAACTGGGAGTAAGATTTCTCCCACTAGATTTTGCTAACAATCTGACTCTTTCCAGTACTTCTTCTGACTGAATTGCACTTAAAATTTTTTCCACACAGGAGTGAGCCTAAGTTTCACCCAAGTGAGTAAACACAGGAATCCTTTCTGCAAGTAATCCAGAGAGAGTGGTGACAACACCACTGGATTCTTCTCTCTCTCAGGAAAGTGCTTTCTTGGATGAGAAGCGTGAGCTTGCCAGTGACTGCATGAAAAGAATATGGCTCCCCAGTGGTTATGCACTGAGAAAGGGACACCAAAGTGTATCCCACAGCTCTAGGTCCCTTGTCCTCAGCCCTTGGGGAATTCTTGTATTTTACTTCTGGCCTGGTGGATGTAGGCAACTTCTTTTTAATAATTTCATAGAGTGATGTTTGCATAATGAAAAATACTCATTTTGTAGAAGGAGGTGGCTATAGCTTCTTTCTCTCGCAACTCAAGAACTGAAAAGAAAGCTAGAGCCAGAAGTTGAGTGAAAAAGAGAATGAAAGGGAGTAAAATTTGCAAACTTGTAGTGAGTCTTCACAGCTGACAAGTGATGCCGAGTGAGGGGTGATGGGAGGAAAGCAGTGAGGAACGTGCAGTAGGAAGTGCAGGTGTACAGGTGCTGAAGTGCCAGTGGGGGGTGTCCCCCCTCCTGGGGGAGATGTGGGGCTGTGACAAGAGCTCTGCACAGGAGCTGCTCCTCCAACACCCACCTGGGATTTGTAACGTGTGTGAGAAATTGTCTTTGCTGACAAAGCTGTAGGACCGGATCAGCGACGTGGGGTGCCAAGAGATCAGGCTGTGTTACTCTGCTACCATATTTTCTACTTCTGAGAAGCAAGCAAGTATATTTTGTAATAGCAGGATCCTGACAGTGCTCCCAGACATTTCTAAACAGGAAGAGGTAGCACACATAAGCTTTAAAGGCAGCTGATTTTATTACTGTCAATACAGTAATGATTTAATTTTGAGTAAGTTAGGGAACCAAAAATGCCAAAAGGTTTATACTGTTACATCTTAATTTAGATAATCTATTAGAACGTTACAATAACAATGTTCTGTCATAATTTTTCAGTTCTTATTTTAGAGTGAGAGCAAGCCAGGAGCATTCAAGAGATGCGAGAGCTTGTGTAAATATTTTCCCCATTTCTCCTTGCCCAACCTGAAAGAAAAGTCTTGCTTGAAATAACTATAACGGTTGATTTTACTCAGCAGAAAGAATGGAAATTGAAGCATCTTCGACAGAAAAAGAAAGGCTTTGGTGACATTAGGGGCATTGGGGGTACAAAGCTGAAGTAAGGAATTATAAATAGCTCTTTTTCTGAAACAGAGTGTATTTTTGGGAATATGGCATGCTGGGAGTTTCATTTTAATTTATTTTTGAAGCTTGAATTACATGGAGAATTGTGTGGTCAAGGATGAATTTGGTCTAAGGAACAAGGATTATAGGCAAGGGGAAAAGCATTTCTAGTGTTATTTAGTAGCTGTAGTGAATCTAATTGCTATATTAAAGATGGTTTTGTCTACAGACAGTAGAACATTTCAGCTCAAACATACCTTGAACTTGGGTTCATATTATACCTGTCTGCATGTTAGGTAATTTTCTAACTGATAATTTTGTACTTTCAGGGCATCATAAACCAACTCTTAAAACCTAGGTGTAAGTAGTAGTCATCAAAACCAGGAAACAACTTGTTCTGAAGACTAAGTAACTAATTTGCACCTTCCTCCTCCCTCTCTTTATTCTGAGATCACTGGCAGTAAGTGCCAGCCTACAGTGGATGCTTCAATAAACTGTCCCTAGACACCCTCTGTGGACTTACATGCCAGCATAAAGAAAATTAACAACTAGGTTTGCTATGTATTCACAAAATCCTATAGAATCCTGGCATTTTTTAGGTTGTCCTTTAACTAGGTAAACGAGTATTTTTCATTGGTTTGGATGCTAGGACCAGCTGCTGTGTGAACAGTGAGCTATTGTTTGAGAACTGATCCTGCTACCTTACATCTCCCTGGCACAATTACTGAGTCAATACTCTGACCTTGGCCATTTCTGTTAGACCTGCTATGCTGGAATTCCAGTTTGAAATTACATAAAGGACTGTATTCATCTACCTATGTTTGCTCACACACAATGCACCTGGACTTGGAGATATGTGTAAATATAATTTGTTTGTGTGTGGCAGTGCCAGTTTTCATCTTTTGCTGGAGTATGCTTGCATCATACTTATTTTTATGATGAGCAATATAAACGCATGCAGAACATTTTCAGTAAGCAACTTGTGAGAAAAACCTCTCTTTTGATGATAAATATTCCTGTGGTTTGCATGCTAGGCATGTTTTATCTTAATTTGTGAAAACTGATTACAGACTGAAGACAAAAAACCAGTGTCACCTAGAAGTCAGTTATTTTAATTTTGAGAAGTAAGGAACTCAAGTCAAATGAAGGATCAAACTGCAGAGGAAAAAGCAGTCAGAGAGCTGCAGTGTTCAGAATGAGGGAGAAGTGTTTTGCATGGATCTGGTACTGAAACCAATGACTGACAGATTCCAGTAGTAAAAGCTGCAGAGCAGTAGGGGCAGAGTGCTAAAGCAAGTGGTAGAGAGAGTTGCTAGTCAGGGATATCTGTTATTGTGTAGCATTTTTGTAACTATCTCACTGGAATGTGATGATGATGGCAATCAAAGATTGGAAGAGGAAGGAATAATGGTACGGAAGAGAGAGGGTTAATTTTTTGGGCACATTTGTCTTGAATTCTAAGGAGATACCAGAACAACATCAACACAATTGGAATTTGAAAATCAAGCAAAAATCAGTTTGGGAATTTGTGAGTCAAACCAGATGTGGCCAAATGAGGATTGATTCAAGAAAGGGAAAAGAGCAAGAGAAGAGAGTGCAAGACTCCCTCCAGTTTAATGGGAGAGGGAGAGACAGGAAAAATATGGACTGAGAAATCATTTGTATGACATGGGCTGGAGCAAGATGGGGAGTGGGTTAGAGGTAGGTCTACAGTAGAAGCTTCGGCTGCTGTCTCAGGATTTAACGTGGAATCGCGCCTATCACACATCAGGAATGAAGGCAAGGAAGGAACTTGGCATTTCAGAGGAAGGTGATGGGGAGGTGGCTGGATGGAGGAGCTCAAGCTGACTGCAAACACAGTTTCCACATATAGGAATGGAATGACAAAGGAGAGGCCAGCCCTGACGCACAACTGCCACCACTCTGGGGAAGATGGGGGAGTTAAGGGAAGGAGAAAAAAGGACAGACTCAGAGATGTGAATGGACAGAAATAGAAATCACACTTCAACAGTGTGAATATCTCAGTTAACTGTCTTCTCCAAAAAAACCAAACCTGTGGCTTCCCCAGCTGATGTAGAAAATGGGAGGTCAGCTGAAATTGGTGTGAAGTAAACTGAAAATTAAACAGGTTTTTATGCAGGGATACAGCACCTATCCACAGTTTTAGTAGTACCTAGAGTGATTCAATCTGCTTTAAACTGTTTTCATCAGCTAAGCTGCTGAATGCAAGACTGTATGTTAAGAGCCTTGCTAATAAAAAGTTTATTTAGTTTATATATTGTGTGCATCTCCTTCCTGTAAGCAGCGTGAACAAAAATATTGCTACAAAAACATCCCAAACAAACCCTCAAACTCAGTTACACACAAAAAGTGTAAGAAATAAGATCTGAAGTTAATGTTTAGATGTATTTTTAAGGTGAAGAGCAGAATTTTGTCAAAAGGTGGGTATACTTGCAGACTGCGAGTGTGGCAGATGAAAGAAACCTTAGATATCTTCCTGGATTAACTGAACTTTTTTAACCTTCTAAAGAAAAGTAGCACCAAACAAGCTCTCCCAGAAACTGAATGGTTGAAACCAGAGAGCACAAGCTGCCCAGTGAAAATAGAGCAAGCAGCCAAATTTCTGAAGTGCAGGATGCAAAGTTGATTGCCCTTGCTTGTGCTCACAACCTTTGCCTTACCTATAAAATGCCTCCACCCTTGAGCTTTCCACCCTTCTCTTTTCTGATTCTGTGATTCTCCCATCCTGCTGGGGAGTGTGTGAGTGGCTGCCTGGGGCTTAGCTGCCCAATGGGGCTAGCCTACAACAGTATGTTCCATACCATAAAGGAAATAGCAGGTGAAGTTAATGCACTAGCTCCAGGGATAAGGCAGATACTGATGTAATTTACTGGAAATTGAAATTTACTGGATCATGTAATTATGTCCTTTATCATCTACCTCAGAACTTCAGCAACAGAAACCAGTAAGCCAACAAGGATATTTCATGTAATGTCTTGAGGTGAAAATCATAAAAATAAGTCAAAATGGAAGGAAGCCTTCAGAATAATGAATAGGACTTGTCACATGAATTTGGTGTTACAATTAAAGCCATGGGGGTTTGTCTGTCTAAGCTTTTTCATGCAAGCCTAACTTCATACTGAAATAGCAGCTCAGGTGTTCTAATGTGCAGGCTTTTCATCAACTGGACAGCAGCAGAAACTGGATTACAAACCAAAATGTATCACTACTAGGCACCCTCAAGTTGGAATTCTGGAATATTCTGAGTTGAAAGGGACCCACAACTCTTAAATAATAAATTTAAAAAAAAAAAAAAAAGTATCAAATCTGGTTAATTCAGCTGTCTGGGAAACTGGATTTGAAGAGCCCTAAATCACAAAACATGAACAAGAGTGCTCTCAGCTATGCCACCAGGGTTGCTTGAGCCCCTAGCAGATTGCAGTCTGGGCAGCAGAGGACTTTGTCTTTACTTTTTTGTAGAAGGCCCCTATACACTGGATATCTTGTCCTGTCACCTCAGAAATTCTCCAGCTGCTTTTCACAACTGTAAATACAACCTTTCTGAAGAATCTTGGAAAATCTTGTTCATTGATACTCTGCTATCCAAACTATTAGCTTGAATTTAGTAACAACAATCCAAAACCTCAGCAGTCTACAAGAGTTGTTGGACCAGTAGGTCTTCAGCCAGAAAACTTGGAAATTCTCACAGTGATAGCAGAAAAACTCACCTGAGGATAGAACAGTCAGTACATCTCCTTCAGAAAGAATTTCAACTGCTTAGGAACTGCTTAAGTCTTTTTAAAGGTGTTTGGTGGATAAGATTTGTGCAAACGCTCTCACAGCTTTTGTGGAGCTCAGAAGTATTGGGCTGCACTTTGTGTACCACTCTGGACACTGCTGACCAGCAAGAAGATGCCAAGAAAATATTGGCTTTGGAAGGCCAAATATGTTCTGCATGTTGCAACCATGATGACTTCAGCACATCTGCTACCTTGACACGCACAGACCTCCCAAGGCTGCTCCTCAGATCTGACAGACGACAGAGCGGCTTCAACGGAGTCTGTCTGTGTCAATTCAGTTACATCAACCAGATCACTTCCTCACACGGGGAAAGAGATCCTCCCCCTTGAAACAGGATGCAACAGAGCTACTGTCCATCTTAATCTGCATATGACATCTGTCCATCTTTATCTGTATGTGAGACAGACTTCATACACTTGAGCAGGAAGTCTGGAAAGTTTTTCTCACGGTACTTCCAGGGTAATCTCACTAATTGCAATTCTCAGATCATTAGGATGAGCTCTCCTAAACCACAAACAGGTAACTGTTTCACAGCTTTCCCTGTCAATCAAACTATTTTGAAGGTTGTATTTTTACACAGTGATTGCAAAAAGTAAAGGCATGAGAGAAAGAAATGGGTTATAGAACTCCAAAGTGGAGTGTAACAGCTCTTTAAAACTTTGTCTGCCTTGGAAGTGGGTTTTCACAAAAGAACATTCAACCCCACAGATTTAAAGGTGTAAATGAAAATATGTTCAAGCAAGAGAAAAAGAAGCTGTTTTTTCAGTTCCAAGATACTCTGTACCAGTAAAAATAGCATATGCTCTATAAAATGAACCACAGAGAAATGGTTCATTATGAATCATATAATGATTATATCTTATCAACCATATCATATCATGATCAAATACCAGTTGCATCTCAGCCTCAATAGATTTTCAATTCTTAAGATAATACCTTTGAAAATGCCTAATTAACAAAGCCTTTCTGAAAAAAGAAAAAATAGCCTGATGCTAACTTCCTTTTTTCCCAAAACAGTTCCGATAACCAAACATTAGAAATAGCCTAAAATGAAATCCTAAGTATCTACAGTATTTTACTGAGCATTACTCTGAAGTAACTAATGGGAAGGTCTTGACAATGGTGCAATCTCTAAGTACCAAGCAGTGAAAGGAACTTTTCTCTTTCTTTAATAAAAGTAAGACTTAGTAAACATGTCTTACAATAAGAGACATTCAAATGGTCACATATAGGAACATCATACACACTGTAACCAGAAAACCTAAGGAACAGAAAGCAGGTTTTGCTAGAGAAACACTGTAAATCCAGGTCACAATTTATCTTCTTCTTTTCACATTAGGATCATATCTGCAACAAAAAAATAAAATCTGTGTCACAAATAAGTAAAACAATGATATTCAAAGTTTATATAGATAGACAATGTGATGCAAACAGCTTTATTACACATTCATAACAAGGGAATAGCCAGTGCTCAGTCCTTTCTCTGACTGCACTCCTATAATTAACCATAGTTACTACTATCAGAATGAAGGATGCATGAGGTAGAAGAACCTCTGTATGAACTTAAGATAACTCTTAATGAAACTTTCAGATTTCCTAACTACTTACAACCTTTAAATCTGATGCATGAACAAGCTTTTCCAAGCCTTTAATGTCCCAACACTAAGCTCTTTACTGGAAAAGGACACCACAAAAAACAAGAGAGGAGGGAAGGAAAAGGGGTCCTGTACGTTTATGCTGATCTACATTTGGCCACAACTCATTCAGACAAAACCTCTCTGCTGCTTCCTACTCCTACCTAAAGCAGATCCTCACCCTACCTTGCCCTTTATATAGCTTCTGACTGACTTAGAAATTTAGAGCTACTTTCTGGATATACTAAATAGTTACTGATTTACTGCAATATGCTTACAGTTTGACTCTACTTGACACTGCTATCCGTTGGTCTTCTCCACTTGTGCTTCATCTCCCAAATTCCTGTCATTTCTTTGAAATTGTGATGTGTTTTGTATTCATGCATGAATAACTTACAGACACATCTGAATGATCAGGTAGTTTTACTTCCACTAATTCTGCTTTTATTCATCAAGACTTTATGCTTAGACAAAAAAATGTGACATCTTGTGAGCAAAATTACATCACCATGTATCTAGAAAGGTATTAGAGGTCACTGTTCTTGCTATACAACTCAGACTTCAAAAATTAAATGTATACCCTTTAAAATAAATGCTCCATTATTAACTGTTAATGAATAGAGCAAGTTGTTAATGCAGTAAGATTTTCTGAATGCTCTAACATGTATTAGCATGTTAGTATCATGTTTGTTTGAAAATGAATCAGAAAAAAAAAACCAAAAAAAACCTTTCTTCACCACATACATTTCTCTACTCAAATGCACAACTTTTGGTGTTAGTTAGAAATTCATGAGAGGTGAGAAGTCAAACACTGGTCAGCTGTTTCTTCACATAAAAAACATAGAAAGTAATGAAATTTTGCAAAACAAAATGAGGTCCCTGAATTAACTCTCAAAACAGTGATTTGATTTTATTGTTATAGCATTGTAACATGATTGCTCTAATGCTTAACTGTCTTCTGGACAGCAAATTCTGTGGAAGATTCTATGGATTTGATATGGATTCTATGGGCAGGAGTGGGGAGATAAAGCAGATAGGAGTAGGAGATGATACCTGATGGAAATCTCTCATCAGAACAACAGCAGCTTCAACCCTGTCTGTGACTGGCTACAGAGATGCTGACAGTCATGAACATCTTTTTGTGTTTTCTCCTCCAACTCACCTCCTCCCATTTTCCATGTTAAATGAAGCCTGAATAAGTTGGTTTTTTTCCCCAGAGAAACTGCTAAACCACTTCTGACTACATTTTATATATGAGAATACATGAAATTTTGTAAAGAATAGTCAAAGTAATCTCTTCCAAAATCAAAATTTGTCCAAAAAATCTGATCCAAAAAATACACATTTTTAAGTACAAACATAAAAGTCTTACCTAAAGAGATCATCAGCAAGTGATTCTTCTCTTGCCTGTCGGTTCTGTTCCTGAGAAAGTTGATTTAATATTTGATTGTTAAGGATAATTCTAATGAGCCATCTAGAAAAACAATATTCCTGCACTAACACAGTTTTCCCCAAAGTAAGTTCTCTCTAGGTACTCCATTTAGCGCATATTCACATTAGACAAGTTATTTCACTACCCAAATTTGGCTACTGCTAATGAAATGAAATAGTTTGTGAAAGGTGTCAATTTTGGTCAGAAATGTGGTTTTTAGGTTTTAAGCACCAATATAGAAATATAATTTTTTAAATCTGATTATTTGTGTATAAGGGGAATTATAATTAGCATTATCTATATTCAGGGATTAAAAAAATGAGATAAGAAGTGCTGATGCAACTGCATCTCAATCAGGCTGTGGAAACAATATGACTCATCAGCAAGTATTTGTAAGAAACTATCCG